ACTCTTCACTTAATTTCAGTCCTCTCAACCTATCCTAAAAAAATAAAAAATAAAAATATTCATTGGTCTCAAAATTATAAAAAATCTATTACTTAAATTCTTAAACTATGTCCATACCACATTAAAAAAAATGCACTATATAAGATAAGTAGCTAATTAATATATTAAAATTTTTTTTATACAATTCAAATTATATAAAATTATATTAGATTACACAATATAAATTATTAAATTGAGGATATACCTTCTAAGATTGAAAGTTTTCCTTATCTAATACTTTTTATATATTTTGTAATCTGAATTATAAAATAGAAAATCCATATATTTAACTTATCACAAACAAAAAGGTGTTTCGTAGGGGTGGCTTCCATATGATGTTCTATGTTTTGCAGTCTCACTAATTTCTTTTCTCTCTGTATGGTTTCAGCTTTGATAGGGATCTTCAATGGAGGACTGGAGTGAGAATTGTTCCAATACATTGCTCAAGCTCTAACGACTTTAGAAAAACCATGCATGCCCTAAAAGCAGCCTATGAAGATGCCCAAAAACTTAATATGAAAGTAAAAGGGGTTTTAGTAACAAACCCCTCAAATCCTTTGGGAAGAACTCTAACTCGAGATGAGATAAACGACCTCATTTCTTTTGCAGTTGCCAAAAATATCCACATAATAAACAACGAAGTTTTTTGCGAAACGGCTTACGACTCTCCCGGTTTCATTAGCGTAATGGAAGCGGCTTCAAAGATGGACATGCAAAACTCTGATATGTGGAGCTGCATTCATATTGTCTACAGTCTCTCCAAGCACCTCGGCCTTCCTGGATTTCGTGTTGGCATGATTTATTCCAACAACAACAACGTCCTCAATACTGCCACAAAAATGTCGAGTTTTGGCCTCGTTTCTTCACAAACTCAGTTCTTGCTGTCAAAAATGCTCGTGGACAACAAATTCACTAGTAATTAAGTGAATGAGAATCAAAAGAGGTTGAAGAAGAGGAAGGAGATGCTCGTTTCAGGACTTGAAGAGGCCGGAGTTGAATGCTTGAAAGTTAATGCTGGATTGTTTTGCTGGGTAGACATGAGAAAATTTTTATCAAGGCCAACATTCGAAGCAGAGGAAGAACTATGGAAAAGTATTCTGTACTCTGTTCGGCTGAATACCTCCCTTGGATCATCGTGCCATTGCTCTGAACCTGGCTGGTTCAGAGTCTGCTTTGCAAACATGTCTGAAGAAATGGTGCATACAGGAATACAACGTCTGAAGAACTTTGCAGAACTTGTCTCTGAATCATATCTAGTGAGAAAATAGTTACGAAAAATTTTCTTGATTCAAATTGGTAAAATTAAAAAAAAAAAAAAACTCTTGATTCTAATTTTCCATGCTGAGATAAGAATCAAGAGCTAATAGTTAAAAGAAAAAATAAAAAGTTGCAGAATCATTCCAAAAATAAATCCATCATGAATGGCCCGATGCTTTGTAGAAAAATATATGTGTTCCTATCCAAAAATCTTTTAAATATCAAATAAAAAATGGATCTGCATCATTATATGAGAGACTTCCTTGTTATTAATTTCTTCGTTTTATTCATTTCTTGTATTTGTTTTACATGTTTTATCATATTATTATATAGTTAATTTTTTTAAAGATGAATATTAGATTATTTAGCGTTCTATCACATCCCCTTGGTATGTTTGCCTACAAGCATTATTGCATTTATAATCAATAAGCATTATCGCATTTATAATCTATTGATGTGATAGGTTCTTTCACTTTTTTCTTTAGGAAAATGTCTTCAGTGCAAGGGTGCACCACATCGGCCTTGCCCCGTCCACTGAAATCATGCCATGTCAATCTGAAGAAAACTAACTGGAATTCCAAAGCTATAACGGTGTTAATCTTAACGTTGTGTGATCAACGATAGAATTAAAAACGTTAGATTGCAGAATTTTCTTGCTTTACAAAAACATAGGTCCTGAGAATTCTTCCCTCTCATCAGTCATCACTTGACATTCTTTCTCTACATCCATCTCTTCTTTGACAGCGTGGAAGCAAAGAAAGCGATGGGTACAATCAATTTGTGCTTTGCCAGTAGCTGTGGTTGATTGAAGAACAGCTCAATACTTCGCCATAATTTTGGGAATTCTGTGGATTGATATTTTCCTACTTTGGATGCCGTTGACTTTGGATGGTGAAAAGTGAGGTTCCTGTTGGAAGGGTGTTGCATCCTATTTGCTATAAGATGTGAATCCATGTAACCATTGAGTTCTTTCTTCTATAGTTTTGTTGTGGCTTAGGTTTAAAGGTTGTTTTGCTACTTGATTTTCTGCAGTTCAATTTTCTGTTAAGAACACCACTATTATATCTTTTATTAGAAAACCAAGACACAAATAAAATCAAGAAGCACATAAGTAAAACAAAAAAAAAAAAGAAAAGAAAAGAAAATGTTATATAATTTGGACTATATAATTTAAGACGTTGACTAGGTAATGGGCTGCATGACATTAAGAGTTGTTTTTAATTTAACCATTTGTATTTGTATAGTTTTAACAGCAAAATATAATTCTATATGTAAAATTATAACATATCTTGTTAATTTAATGGAGAAAAAAGTGGCTAATGCAATTTGAAAAGGATCTGGAAAATAAAAGAAGTTTGAGGAATTGTTTAGGTAGTGGCACTTAGTGTAGGTAACCTTATTTTATAACTAGAATTGCATCGTATTATAAGACACTGTTCATTGGAGGAGGAGCTAGTAATGGGATCAAATCGGCCCAGGGGTTAAGCACAGCCCTGCTTGGCCCAAAACATTTGAAGAATGTAAGGGCCCAATTGTTTAGACCC